CCAGAAACGAGGGACGAGCAGAAGCGGTGCCTGAGCAGGAGCCCGGCGGCAGGACGGGAGGAGGATGCTGCGGATGGACAGACGGGCCCCCGCGACAGACACGCTGAAGGAAATGGCCTTTCTGCAGGCGAGCTCTAGCTCCGGGCAGTGCCCACACTCACAAAACCCCCCCGGCCTTGCTTCACGCAACGAGCGTGTATTTACACTCGTGGGAGCAAGCAAAACGGGGACCACCACCACCACCGACCACACCGGTGCTCCCGGCAAGGAGGGAAAGGCTGATACGCAGCGGAGGCAACAGCCAGAGTACTGCAAATCCACCCTCAGAGGGGATGCCGTAGAAGGAGTCTTACTTACTCGAAAATAGAAATAAAATGCCTTTTGCTGGGAGCGTTAATATGGCACTTCCTCTCTGCAATGACTTTCCCTGCTTATTTTTAGGACTAGGGCTTATTTAAGGAAATCTCAAGGGAGAAGATCGGCTCAGCTGCCCCTCCTATTCCCAAGGAGCTGCAGTTGCTCCCCCGTTTTCAGCAGCAAAGTTACTCTCTTCCCAGCTGGAACAAAGGGCTGACGTTTACCTTCCTCGCTGCCTCCTCGCAGCACGACCGGCGGCAGCCTGGGGTCCCTTCTCTTCTTTCAAGATGATGGTTTTCAAAGCAGCGTCTCCACCGCGTCCCGTGCGGCCCCGCAGAGCGGGTGGGAGAACCGTCCCTGCCTGCGGACGGGAGGAGAAGGGGAGAAGTGACGGGGAGGAGATGCCGCAGCTGAGCACGGCCGAGGGGAGGAGAGGGGAGATGAGAACGTGAATTTTCTGCCAAAAGAAATGAGAGCCAGAAACATCGTGTGGAGAGAGAGGGCAGGGTTAGACGGGAAGGGACAGCACTTCCCACGGCTGAGAGCGTTTGTGCCTTGGCAGGGGATCGATCATTGCTCAGTCGGTCTCCTCTGCCCCCACGCTTCCCCAATAACGGGGACACGTACCGAAGCATCGGCTCCTCCCGCAGGTGAAACCTGCGAGGGCAATCTGCTGCCTGGGTGCTGGGCGGTGAGGGCCAGCGGGTGGTTTTCGCCTCGGCTCTCCACGCAGACCTCTCAACCGCTCCGTCGCAGCATCTTCACAGCGACCAGGTCGCCAGCGCGGTCAGGCACGGGCGGCTGGGGCCAGGCACACGGGTGCCCTGCGCGCCCTCGGTGGGTCGGAGGGGTCCCCTGCGAAGCTCCGGTGTGGAAGAGCTCGCAGGGCACATGGATAGATGTACAGCTAGCGTCTTGTACGACGTGTTGTACGTGGTGGGGTACAGACCCCAGAGAGCCTTACGCACCTACAGCAACCTGCAAGGCGTGCGTGTTAACACCCAGAATTGGCACCTCCTTTGCGTGTTAACACGCCCACGCGCCCCTCGGGGACAGCAGCCGGGCTCCTGGTCCGTGACACGGTGATGACAGGGGTGCCGCAGCGCGGTCCCTGGGCAGAGCCGTGCTGCTCCAGCTCTGCCCCGGTCCCGCTGCCGCCTTGGCCACCGCTGGGGAGAAGCTGAGCTGGGGACACGGTGCAGAGTCCAGCGACCGCGCTGCGGGGCTCTGCGCGCAGCGCAGGAGAGGGTGACTGCCCGCACGCGGTGGGAGGAAAGACCTTCTCTGCTGCCAGGACCAAGGAGAAGGGAAACGTCTGCAGCCCTTGCCTTGGCTCCAGGTTTGCCCTCCCGTCCCCAGCGGGATCACTGGCACTGGCTTCCACGCAGCAATTCAAACCCCGGGAGGCTCAGACATGCTCACTGGTGAGTGCAAGGGGATTCCTGGCTCCTGCCCTCCAGGGCACCGCAGTCCCTCACGATGTTCTGCTAGCGCTCGGATGTCCACGGCACGGCACATCCCATCCCATTCCATCTCCAGAGCATCGTTCTCTGGGAGGGTCTGGGTCATCCACAGGCTCCCTTTTAAGCTCGATGCCTCCTGTTCATTCGGGCCCCGGCTCTGCCACTGCCCGAGGGAGCCACAGCTCCTGCTCCAGCAGGCGCTGGTTGCCACCAGCCAACTTACTTCCCTCCCTGCAGCAGCTGCTTTTCGAGAGGCCACAGCCAGGCTTGTGGCTTCCTCCAAAAGGCGCAGCCATTGCACGGGAACGCCCTTTGCAGGCTGGTGCACCTTTGTGGAGGCTGCCGAGTTCCCATTCTCTGTGCGTCGCCTCATTGCCCCTCCTTGCCCCCACAAGTACAAACTGGTGTTGCTGTGCCACACCAGGCATCCACCCCAAACACTGCCATAATCAACAAACTCCATCTGCTTTGAAGAAGGAAGGAGGTGGTCACGGACCTTGACTTCCCTGCCTGTTGAGCAAAACATCAGAAGAAGCTGGAGAGGAAGCTGGGAGCGGTTCGTAGCCGTTCACCGCTGATCGCTTGCTGGCCTTGCATTTCTGAACGCTTTTGAAATGTCCTACGAGGACAGGGAAGCCCCACGTTGGCAGAGGACTTGGGATGGAGCATCTCCTTTCCTGTAGCAGGCAACATAAGCTAGGTGAGAAAAAACAAAGCAGCAGGACCAAGATTTGCCCATAAAAAAATCTTTATTCCTTAAAAATACAACATTCACCTGCAGTGACACAACTACTCAGAACATTCTTTTAGAAGGGTTTCATCTGCTTGCTTCCTTCCCTGTCAGCAGCAAGGAGAGCCGGCGGCCCCACCTGCGGGCGGCCCGGTCCAGACAGAAAGGTTCCTCTCACCCGTTCCCGCACCCGAGCGAGCTG